AACCATCCTAGCTCAGTATTAAATAAAACTTAATGGAAGGTTACAAAGTCTTCAGGGTAGGCGATGCCTTTTATTATCACATTATTAATATTTTTAATATTTATTTAAGATTTAGCATTTCTGTGCATTAGAATTTTCAATCTGATTTCTTCCTGTTGCTTTTAACCTAGAGAGGTTTAAGGTGGAAGATTCCCTTGTCTAGACTCAGAACTAAGGGCTAGTCTATGTTCAGCATTATAGTGGTACAAACACAATCTGTTTAGAAATGAATGCAGTTAAATCAATATAGCCCTTAGTGTGTATAAAGGTTCTTATCTTTCCATACCTTATTCATGTAAATATAAGCACCATTATATTGATATTACTGTGTTCATGTAAGGGGGTTGTACTGCTTTAATTACCTGTTTATAAACTGATAGATTTAGTACTGCTATCGCTATGTCTAGACTACATCTAGAAGTCAGAAGACTTAGGATTTATTTCTAATAGCTGTCAAGAAAAGTATCAAGACATTTCAGAGCACTTCAATAAGGTCACTTTGATATTTCTGAAACTATTTTTTGAAATTTCCAGTTTGTGGGAGATAATTTATAATATAAAAATCTGAATGAAATGCTTTGACATTGTTGAAACAAAATGTTTTCAAATTTCATTTGATAGGAAATTTAACTTTTTGTTCTGATTTGGGATGAAGGGAAATTTTAAAATGTCATTTCCAGTGGAACGGAAATCCTGAGTTTGGAGTAGCTCTAGTGATGATACTTGTGAAGCACATTGAAACATAGGTGAAATGCATGTTGTTTTTTCATATTATGTCAACTGTCTTCAGTTAAGGCTTGGTAGTTAACCCTTTTGCAGCATTCTTCCCTTTAAAGAAAAAAGGTAAGTTAAAATCAAAAATATAGGCAGCACTGAGTTGAGAAATCAAGCACACACAAGTTAACTGTTAAATCACAATGTTAACTTACCACAGAACAATATTTTGTATTTGTTTTCCTTGTTAAATATCAATCTTAATTTATTCACAGATAAATTTAGATAAGGCTGGAAAAAGATATTTAGAAATAGAACACTGAGAATACTGTAGTTATTTTAAAGCAAAAAAAAAATTTTTTTTTCAGGAAATTCATGGTCCAAATTCAGCTAACTGTGGTACTTGAGTCAGAACATGTGGGTGTTTAAGACTGCATATTTTAGTGAGTAAATGAGACTCCTCATCAAATCATAGAATGTAGGCTAAGAAATGGTACTTCTCTCTCCATTTATCAGTATAATCCAGAAGTGGTGAGCTTCTGATGCTAATGGGCAATAGGATTGGAAGACCCAAGTATGTCTGAGTTGGCTCACAAATATGTGGAAGGGGAGGTGGTAGGTATTTTATCTACTGTAATAAGAGGTAATGTTGGACCAACTGGAGCCAAAAATAATGTCACTCTGGTATTGATCCTGATAAAGAACTGGCACTGCGATTAGTTATCTTCATTGTATTTTCAGTTTGGTAGTTCAGGGTTTGTATGGGAAGCTTAGATCACTTATGGTCATTTGGTGATTGGCTGTTGGGGATAGGTAGATTGATGGCAGATAGGTAGAGGATAAAACATTAACATAAGGACAGTCAGTTGTAAATCCTGTCCTCACAGTAGTAGCAGGAGCCCAACAGGAGGCTACCACTGAAGCAAAGAACCAAGATCTGGCTGCAAGGTTTTCCCCTCACCATTTGATGTAAGAATGGCCATTGGGTCAGATCAATGGTCCATCTAGCCCAGTATCCTGTCTTCCAATAGTGGCCAATGGCAAGTGCTTCAAAGGGAATCAACAGAACAGGGCAATTATCAAATGATCCATCCCATGTCGTCCAGTCCCAGCATCATTTACTTTGATTAGGCTGCAACATAGGGGAACAGAGTGGGAACAGCAGAGGTTGGACAAAGCTGGCAAATCCCTGTGCACATCCCAATTACCCAATGCAGGAAGACTTTGATTCTCCTGATCCCACAGGAAGAGGAAAGTAGTTGGCAGCCTCCTCAATCTCCAAGTCATTGACCTATCTCCTCATATGGTAGCTATTGGTGAAGACAGCTACTGCTATCCAAAAAGGGGTAGAAAGGGGCTTAGGTCCAGAGGGAAGAGAGAGCACAGAGAAACAGGTAACTTGACAGGGAGGGAGTGTGGCTTATAGCAGACATCTTAAGTAAGAGGAATGGTTTATGGACAGGTGTGAACAGATCTACCTTACACAGAGAGGGATGTTGATCTGCTGGTATGAACACAGGACTGGGAATCAGGAGTTCGAGTTCTTATTCGGCCTCTGACAGATTCCCTCTGTGGCCTAGGGCCACACCTTAACCTCTCTGTCAGTTTTGCCTTCAGGCTTCAACAATGCCTACTTCACAAGGCTTTGAAGAGTAGTTAATGTATGTGGTTTGAACATGGGAGGAGCTATACAGATTATATTATGTTCTTACACAAAGTTTGGCTGTGCAATCTTAATTACTAATTTCCAAGTTACCAATTGCTTGTTTTTTATAATAACTTTATTCGGTACAGTTTGTAGTGGAAATTCTCAGCTCTACATCCGTGCAACTTCTACTGAGAATTTCTTAGTTTTTTTTTAGAAAGTAATTAAAAACATTTATGGAAACTGCATAGACTGACTTCTCAACGTATTTTGCTAGAATTGTAAAAGGTTGTGTAAATCAATGTTTTTCAAAGTTCAGGTTGCGACCCAGTACTGGGTCGTGGCATGTAAGGCACTGGGTGGCCTTGCTCAGCACCCAGGGACCCTAGCCAGGACAGGTGGGAAGCCTGCCTCTGCACCCTGGCTGTGCTGCTGACCGGGAGCCGCCAAAGGTAAGTCCATGCCCCAATCACCTGCCCCCCCCCAGTCCCGGAACCCCTCATCCCTGGCCCCACCCCAGAGCCTGCACCCCCAGCCCTGAGCCTCCCCAAACCTGGAGCCCCTCCTGCACCCCAAAGCCCTCATCCCTGGCCTCATCCCAGAGCCCTGACCCCCTCCCACACCCCAAACCTCTCATCCTCAGCTCTGTTGGGTCACAGGCATCAAGAATTTTCTTCAACTGGGTCACCAGGAAAAAAATTTTAAAACCACTGGTGTAAATAATCACTGAAATGTAAGACAATACAGTCACTGAAACACACATCGACTGTGACAGAGTTTGTAACTTTTTAACATGAGTATTTAAGCCAGTGCCAGAATACTTTACAAACTCTATTAGCACACTGTCAAAACTTAAAAACCTTATAAAACCTTCCATTATCTGACAGGGTGGTCAATGCTCAAAATACTTAGACTCAAATTTTGTGCCAGACATCATGAGAACTAGATCTCATACATGACTAATGAATAAAACTCATTTTAAATTTCTGACCTCTTTGTTTTACAAAACAGTTAAGTACACTTCACTTGATGTAAAGTCCCATCACTCAATACCTCATCTAGATAACTCCAAAATTACTTACAAAATTCTCTTGGTAGAGCCCACACATGTGAAGTTCAAGGTAGAAAGGATTTTTTTTTAGTAAGTAAAGTAGCAGGAGATTGCCAAATTTAGCTGGAAAGAGAGTAAAAGCCTTAGCTATAGAATTATAACCATATGTCTATAATTTAACCTGTACTATGCAACATAGTTCATGTGCAATATTAACAAGTTATAACCATAAAAACATCAATTTATAGAATTTCTTTACTCAAACCTGATTTTTTTTTAAACCATCTTGTATATAATTCTTGTTTGGTGTCAAGGGCTGGTCATAAGAATATAAACACACAATTCAATCTACAAATGTTCTCCAAAGTATCTGAAGAGAAACATGCACTAATAAACTAGGTTAAATAGTGTAGAGTTGCAATTCATTCTTTAGCAGGAAGAACGTTTCAACCTAAACTATAGAAGATTGAGTGCTCTTCCCATAATGACCAGATAATCAGTTTATTCATAGAGCTATATTTCCATTTTGGTTCTGTCATGGATGACTGCACTATCTGGTTAGAACCACTGTTCCTGCTTTTGGCGCATACCACCCAACTTCTGTAATAGTCAAAAGGCATCCTCCTCAGATACATAGTACTTTGCAACTCATCCAATGATCGCTAATTGTTTTCATAAATTAACCCATTTGGTAGCGTGGCATACTGAGGTACACGAATGTGACTTAGTGAAAATGAGAGAAAGGAAGATAGTGACATTTTGTATACAATGGAAAGGGCAACATGGATGTCTGAGAGGCAAAAAAGAAGGTAATTGAAGTAATTAAATAGGAGCTGATGTAGTTACTTTAAAGGGAGCTTCTCCCCCAAATTAACAGAGTCCCAAAATGCATACACAGCATTTAGTCAGAAAGGTGTTATACAGTACCAAATAAATTAAAAAAAATAACACTACTACCCCTTTAAGTCTTTCATCAATACCACTGATGTTAAACAATAAAAGTAAATGAGTACAGCTGAACCTTCACTGTGATATTAAAATCACAAATTTAATGTTATAAATTATCCAAACTATACAATTTATAGGTTTTTTTTTTTAAATGAATATGGCTTCTCCCCTTGGCATAGTTAATCCATCTCCCTGAGAGGCGGTAGCTATGTTGATGGGAGAAGCTCTCCTGGTGACAGGGCTTGCTATGGGGGGGAGGTTAGGCTTCTTCACACCCTTGGACAACATCATTATAGCCCTGTGGGTCTGAAGTGTAGACCTGCCCTTTGCCCTTGAACCTCTGATCTCTGCGCAGAGAGAGCGGCTGAGTTGATTGCCCTGGTGGTGGATCACCCTGACCGTGGGGCAGAAGCTGCCCTGGGCTGAGATCAGGTTGGGGTATCCCCGACCCCTATGAAAGCACCAACACCCCGCCCCCGCCGGCTCCTTCCCCGCAGCAGCGGTCGAGCGACCTCCAGGGACGGGGCTTAGGAAGGGGGCGGAACTATAGTGCCGGGAGGTGCCTGTTGCCGGCCGGGCCACGTTAGCTGCTGCGCCCAGGCGGCCCATGAGGGGCTGTTTACAGCCACGCACGCAGGTTGTAGACGCTTCGTCTCTTCCGCTAGCTGGTTGTCAGGGTTGCGCGAGCCGGGGAGCGCGAGGGCTGGCGACGGCCCGGCGCCGGCTGCCGCTGGGCGGACGATGGGGCTGAGCGAGCGGGAGCGGGCCGGGTGTCGGGTCCTGCTGGAGCAGATGGAGACGGACGAGCTGTTGGCGCTGACGGACACGATCACCAACCGCCTGGTGCTGCCGCAGAGCCGACAAGGTGGGTGGGGCCGGGGCCCCGCTGTGCGGGAAGGGGCGGGCCCTAGCGCTAGCCCCGCCCCTTGTCTCCAGCTGGGCCCCGCCTTCCTCTGGGGCTGGGGGTTCTGCGGCTCATTGTCCGCCGGGGCTGCCCGGGTCTCCGGCCGGAGCCGCGAACGCCCGGCCCCGCCCAGCCCATGTCACCGCGGCTCCCCTGGGGGTTTGGCTTCAAGGCCCGGCCTTGTCACGGGCTCCTGCCGCTGCTCAGCTCTCGCCTCACCCATCTCTTGCTTGTGTGCGTGCCGGACAGGGGGCCTGGTCCGCGGCCCGGGCTCCTAGGCGCGGCCGCAATACAAGTAACGAGCTGTTAGCTGTATCCCAAGCACTGCTCCCCTCTCCCCCAGTCGGCCCTATGCGAGGCCCCGGCTGCCCTGCCTTGTTCTACAAGAGCAGCCCCTAAAGTGTCTTGTGCTTCGGCTAGTCAGCTGCCCTCTTCTTTAACAAGTGGGAAGAGCATGTGGGAGCAAGGGCAGGGACGAGGATGAAACCTTTGTGATCTCTTATGCATGTGGTGTTACCCAGCTGTTGACTTCACGCAGTTCATTTAGTAATCACATCACTCAGATGCCTGTGCTTTTCAAACATGATGCAGTATTTAAATAGGAAACCCGGGAGATAAATGGACTCTCTAGATTTTTTTTTTTCATTTTATAAGTATATTTCTGATATTTTCAACGAAAATAATCATTCATAATTCCTTGATTAGGTAAATGCCATAGCTGTTTTCATAGCCCAAAAATTACACCATGTATGAGCCCTTGAGACTTCATTTGATTGTATCCCTGTTTAGAGCCTCTTTCCTCCATGGATCTTTCTGTGCCTTAAGCTTGTTTTTTATCAGTGTATTGTGGTGGTATCCAAACAGCATCAGTACTCCATTATGCTAGGCTCTGCACAAGCAGGAGACATGTTCATACCCAAATCAGCTTTCAATAAGTAAAATCATGGATTGCTCTCCTCTGAGAGGCATTCAGACTTCTGAACAAATTACCAAGATAGTCAACACTTACCGTCCTCTATGTTTGACAATGGTTGGAGTTAAAAGCCTTTTCATCCTTTATCAAATAGTATGTGTCTCATGTAAGTTCTATGTCCTTTAAAAAAAGTGGGGAGGTGGGGGGAGAGGGTAAGGAGCAGGTGTGCATTACAGCTAACTGAAATACCAGTTAATGCTGCTGCTGGCATGAGTAACTTCTGCTCTCAGTTGTTGAAAGAAACATGCACAGTCAGGTGGTAAATAAGTTACTAGCCCATAGGGCAAAGTATCTCTCATTTGTCCATCTTCCACCCCTTTTTGTGGACTCATTTTGATTTATGTGACTGTTTTGCTTTGCTTTAACTTAAGGATTTTTGTACTATTTGTAGAATACAATAAGGATAAGTAAAGTTTGCTTTAACTAAACAGTCGTTTCTTAAATATAAGGTGTTCTAAGTCAAACACTAAAGTGCTTGATGCGTAACATCAGCCGAAATTAGAATGGGCTACTTTGACTTCTTTAAAGGGCAAATTTGAGCTTGTGATGCCTCAAATTTTCTGTACTGTTTATTTTTCAAATATTCTTTAATAATCTTTCCTAACTGAGCAATAAACCCCTGAAAAATAAAGGTTTCCAATAGTAATGTGCTTTCTGTCCGAAAAATTATGTATTAAAAATGGCACCTTCCTACATTGTACAATGCATCCCCCTGAAATCCTTTTGAGTAAAAAAATATTTTGTTTAATCCAAAATGAATTTTTTTTTAGGTTTTCTTTTTGGTGAGGAAAGTTTTAAAAAAAATCAGGTTAGGTTTGAACTCATTTTTTGGGGATCTTCAATTCAGCCCCCAAACAAACTGTTCAGCCAGTTAGGTCTGTTTCAAGCATCAGTTTCTGTTAGGCAATTGAGGCAACAGATCAATTTCAGGCTTTTGCATATGGCCTGCTGAATGCCTTTCAACCATATTTGCATGAGTTTGTTACTGATCATCACTGAGGAAAATGTTCAAGTTGAAATTTTTACTTTAGTTAGAAAATCAACAGATTGGTTTTCTAATGAGAGAAGCAGTTGCTTACTTAACTTTCTTTATTTCCAGAAGCCATCCATGCAATTTTAGTTTACAGTCAAAGTGTAGAAGAACTCTTGAAACGAAGAAAAGTCTATCGAGAAATAATTTTTAAATACCTGGCAAAAGAAGGAGTTGTGGTGCCACCTTGTTCTGAAAAACACCAGCTCATTCATCATGCAAAGCAATACTGGAGTGGGCAGCTGACAGATCGTGTTGCAGAGTCAGAGGATATTAATCCAAATAAACAGGTGAGTTTTATGTTCTGAAAGGCCTAAGAATATTGCCTGTGTGGAACAGCTGTTGCTTGTAAGTTCATTGACTTTTTTTTCTCAGCCAAACTGAGATGGTTGTGTTTTCCTGTGTTTGTAGTGGAACTGAATTTTTTCTTGATTTAAAAGCTTCACTTAATAAAAAAAATTATCCTCTCATTGAATCTCATATCTGGAAATTCTGTAACTATCTTGATAGATAAAATGCCCTTTGTTTGTTGGTGTCTGAGTACGTAATTAACGTGTTGTGCCTTCCTCACAACAACTGACTTTGAATTGCAATGAGTGGAATCAGTAGGTCACAAATTAAGACAAAATAGTACATCAGAGTCTGGATAATTCTAAAGATGGACATGTGACTGCCACAGAGTTAACGGACATGGGACGCTCCATAAGCTTCAAGGTCACAAATGTTCTGAGAAGTGTTCTGAAAGTTTAGTCTCAATTGTTGGGAAAATAAACTATGCTCCCCTCTCTCTCTCTTATTTATTTATTTATTAATTAAGCTGCCCTTCTCCGACTTTGCCAAGCAACAATAGCACCAAAACAGCACTGCTGCCCTTAGTTTTTAACTAACAGGTTACATGACAAATCATTTGGTTAGATGCTCCAATAGCTGTTAACTTTTTGCAAGCCATGTTCCTTTCCATTCCTGGTATCTAAGGAAAGTGGAGAGTGAAATACACGATGGAGGTTGAAAAATTGTAACTCTTCTGAAACTTTAGGACTGGCAGCAGTGCTACCCCTGCTACTGAACAGGTCTCTTTCTAACCTCTGCTTAATATGATGTGACTAGATTTGCCTCATTATCAACAAGTTTGTGGGTGATCTGAACTTCCTCCTCATTGTATTTTGCAAAATATATTTTTTTGTTTGGTTGGTTTTTTTTAGTTTATCATTCTTCTTGGATCTAAAGTTTCTAACTCGAGGTGGCCATGATTACTATTAAGTAGTTATGTGACTCAAAGACATAATGGTCACCAACCTGTCAAAGAGCTCTGTAGCTACTGATGTGAAAACAACTTGCAATATTTAAGAAAGTGAAGGATAGATGACTGGAAATTAGATACACTAAAAGTAAAGTGAGTTAAATACTCATTCCGAGAAGTGCAGAAAGAATGGGAAATTCAGCTGTGCTTTATGGTCAGGCTTCTCCTTCCACTTATCCTTTGCGGCAGGAGTGGGGGTGAGAAGTCATGGCATCATAAATCTGGAGTATATATTTAATCTAAAATATGAAATTCAAACACAGAAGTTATTACCCGAATTTGATTCCAGAAGTTAATGATCATGACCTTAGCAGAAGCTTAGTTGAACTTGCTTCTGGCTTGACCTACTTTTAAGGAATGCTGTTAATTGACCAGTACCAGGAGATGTAGATATGTGTTGTTGGTATCTCACTCAACAAATGCAGACAGAAAAATGAGCAAATCATCCTATAGATCTAATTACTGTTTGGAACGTGGGGCTTGGCATTACTAGGCTAGAACTTATTGGAAAATTAAGGATCTTTTTGTCACAAAGTTTCAGTCATAAAATATTCAGTTAAGAAACCAGCCAGTATTGTAAGAGAAAGCAAAGGATATGTCCCTAAGAACAAAGTTGGTTCGAGAGGTGCGCCTACCTGGGAGACAAATGGATAACTGTCTAGTCCTCCTTTATACAGATCCCTGACTTGCATGAATTCACTCTCCCTTTATCTGGGAAAGTATTTTTCCTCTAGATGACAGAAAACTTCCTTTTCTGAATCCCAGTATCAGCCAAAGGTATCTTTAAAAGTAACCTGCCAGTCTGTACTTAAAATATAACAACTTATTTCCCAAATATTTAAGTCTTCATATTTCTTCCTCCTCTGCACACGGTAACACACACAGCCACAAAACACTTCAAGATTCTAATTTTCATTGTCCCCCAATAGCTTTCTTAACAGTTGCTATTCTTGGTTTCATTTTATTAAATTTATTGCAATTTATCCCTATTCTATCCTCAATGAGATCTTCCCCTTGCTACTGGCTACGTATAACAACTTAGTTTCTGCTTTCATCCCCATCATTCTCAGCTGCATTTGCAGGACAGACTGCAGCCTCGCCGGGCTGTTTCAAGGAAATAGCCCTTCAGGTTAGTATTGGTTTGGTCCCTTTATTTCTAATATTTAGCAGTTCCTCCTCTGTAGATCTTAGAAATGCTTTGCAAAGGCAGGTAAGTTTAATTTCCCACCTGTAAAAACAGGGAAACCAGGGATACAGAAGTTAAGTGACTTGCCCAAGATACACAGTGAATTAGTGGAGAACCTAGTATTAACACTGTCCTCTGCTCTTTCTGTTGGACCATGCTGCCTTGAGATTTTTAAACAAATTAAATTTAGTTTGTGTGAGGAGCTGTGGTGCTCTCTTCAGACTATTCTTTGTATTCTTTCATGCTGCCAGTGTTTGTTTTGGGTTACTATTTTAAAATATTTTTTCCAGTAGACTTAGTGCTGATGAAAGAGTGCAGTAATGATACCCTTGGAGACTATGATTTGGACACCTCTCTATTAGAAACATGGTGAAGATCAGACTCCCTTCACATAGTTGACCAGACAGCTTTCCGGTGGTATTGACTTTCTGTCACTAACAAAACCGATCTAGGTTCAAGTAGGTAATCTAGAAGTGAAAAGTTTTATATCCCAATAATCCTCTGATCTACCCAGTTCTTCCTGGGTTACTGATTTTCTTTTTGTTAGCCTCTTCTACTGCCTTGGGTTGAAATATCAGGTAGGTTCTGAGATACTCCAGCAGCTTCAAATGTTGCATCAAGGACACACACAAAATGACTGATACTGATCAGGATTGGTTGTGTCCATCTGGTCATTTGAGGGTCCAAAGCATAAAGGCAGCTTGCTAGTATCTGTCAAAGACAAATACAATAAAGGGAGACATTAAGGGTAGAGGTAATTACTGTGGCCACCTTTAGTATTAGAAGTACTACCATTGCTCCCAAGTAAATGGAGATATTTATTGAAGATATGTTTTGTAAGCCATTTGGCTCTGTATTTTATCTTCGTTTGACAAGGCATTGCCATAATCTTAGGTTTTAAGTGTAAATCTTAGCTAGAATTTTCTTGTACAGACAACTCCTTTTTACACAGCAAGTCTAAATCATACTCTTTAGAAACAGTGTGAAAAATCTTGGCCCCATTGAAGTAAGTGGTAGAACTGCCATTGACTTAAATTGAGCTAGGATTTCATCCAGAGTTGTTGAGCTTATTACTCAAACCAACTTTTAAGTACCTTTCTCATTTCTCTTAAAAGTAACTACTTCAAGTACTGTATTTCTAAAGTGACTATTAAAGAGATTTCTGGGCACCAACTATGGACAAGCATGCAGAATCTTCATTATTTAAGAAGAGAGGTTTAGGTTTGACTTCCTTGCTTTATTCTTTCTCAAGCATTCTGTCTGGAAAACTCAGGAATGTGCAAAATAGAAAATAAAATTTTAGCACAGCAAATCTTTTGAGGTGTATTAAAGACTTGTGTATAGTAAGTAGCAAGCTTCTGTATTAAAGGCTGCTAAAATCTTCTAAGAAAAATAAGTGCATTTTTTTTCTTTGATTACAGAACTATGAACAGAAACAAAAACAACAGGAAGAGAATGATTGGCACAGACTAGGAAGAGAATTCTGTCAGTGGTTCTTTGAACTTCTCAACTCTCAGCATCCTTTGGGGAGACAATCCAAAGAACAGTGGGGACCACAGCATTTCTGGGAGGATGTCAAACTGAAATTTTGTTACAACACGTTAGAAAAAAACATGGAAGAATATGTTGGTGCAGAATTGGTGAGCCTCCGTTTACTCTCATTGGTGAAAGAGGAGTATCTCTTACTGAACCCCAACTTGGGTGCTGGTGGACTGAAGTGTGTAATTTCTCCACATGGGTTAGTAGTGGTGGCGGTAGCTGGCACAGTACATAGAGGCAACATTTGCTTGGGCATCTTTGAACAAATCTTTGGACTCATCCGCTGTCCAGTTAGCGAGAATACCTGGAAAATAAAATTAGTGAACCTTAAAATAGTTGGAGAAAATGCTCTGGAGCCTGGGACACAAGTGCAAAAGCCTTCCATAAAATATGAATCGAATGAACTGCGAGAGCTATATGATGGGAAAGAACTCAGCTTGGTTGAACCTCAAATTCTGAGCAATGTGCGTACAGAATTGGGAGAATAACAATTGTTTGAAGAACAATACAGCAGTTGTGCATTCTTGAATGTTTAAATGACTTCAGACTTGTGGTGATGTCTGTTTCTTTAGTCAGGTTTGCTAAGTTGATGACGTGCCAAAGTACTGAGTGAAATACACTTAAAGAGTCCCACTGCTTTTGGGTACCCGTCTTCCATACTAACATGTAATTGAAAAAGTTGCTTCAGGACTTAGAACTGCACAACACATGTTTAGAAATGAAATAACTTTATTTTTCTTTCTATTTGATGTGTTCTTCACATCACATAAGTTCACGGGGACTTACAATAGCATATGGAGCTTCTCCCGAGGCCACTAGTTAAAGTTGGACCCCAATTGTGTTGGAAAGTCGTTGCCTTCAGGTGGCCGCTTAAAAATGCATTAGGATTCTTGGTCTAATTTCTTAATGGGCCAATAACCCCCACAAAACTGGCAGTCTTGTTGGCAGTTTCAGGGGAGAAGTCAAGTACTGAGTGCATGAAGAGAATTTTCCTCTTTGTCCTAAAATTGATTCCTTCACTAAAAAATAGAGAGAACTTAATAAGATGATGTGGGGAAGCTAGCCCTGCTGCTGACAATGCTTTTCCTGTTCTGAATTAATAGTTAATAGTTTCCAGTGTTGTCATTTATTTTTCATTTTCCAGTAGCATTTACCTCACTTCTGCAATAAAAAACAACACCCCGCTTCCAAAGTTAAATGGTTGCCATTGCATCCATTTCTTGCACTGACTCTCTGGGGGATCAAAGGGTTAACATTAGAATTTAGTCAATTTAAGCTTCATATAAAGCCAAATGCTTTGATAGGGTATTTGTTTTGTATACAACTTACAGGAGAGTTTAATGTAATAGCTTACATGTGGTGGTTCCTGTACGTTCTCTCAAAATCAAGAAGTGTATCCAGTTACTGCAGACTTATTAAACTGGATATGTCAGGTTTTTAAAACACGGAAGCTGGAACAAGAAGTAGATTTTCCAGATAAGCTTGCTCTTCCATTGCCACAAGTAATAGCAATTCAGAGGTTAAAGGGAATTCAGGTAACTTCAATAACTACACTTCTCTGTTTTCTTAATGTGTTTAAAAGTAACACAAAAGATTACGTAAAATCTTTTCTGTTTACTTCGAGTATTTGACAGTTGTTTGTCTAGTCAATTTCATTATTTCTCCAATAATTATTTCCTATTTGTGTGGTCTGTCACACAACGTGGGAGAGAAGTTTGCACTTTAAAGAAATGTTTAAATGTGGTTAAAACTAGTAAAAAGTAGCAGGAAGACACGAGGCAGGTGTGGCGCCTAGAAAACAGCTCTTGAACTCACTTTTGTGAAGCAACTGATTTCTAGTTGTCCCTTTAACAACAACAAGATTTGTTTAAAAAGAATGTGATTATATACCGAGTGAAGGACAGTGTTTGAAACGTTGTTTCCTAGTGAACTGTTGAGATGAGGGCTTTCTCAGCTACTGATTTCTAATTAAGAAAAAGTAGCTTTCATTCTTAAATTCCTTTGAAGCACTTCCCTTTCCTTGCGTGCGTGTAATCTGCTAGTTTCAAGTTATTGGTAGTCATGCATACCTATCAAAGGGGAGGGAGTGGGGGAAGTCTCTACATACTCGTGATTTTGACATTTGGAGTGCAGAGGAGGAAATAACTGTGAAAACCAAAGACTAAAAACAGTACCTCTTTTGATTATGTAGAGATGCTACCTCTCTGAATATTAAAGCAAATTTCTTGTCTCCGGTAGAAGTGTACTGTACTTTCCCTTCTTGCTAAAATTCATGGTGTTTCTAAACATGCACTAACTAATAATATGAACATGACTTTATGAACATTACATTCAAAATGTAACTAGTTGTCCTTGCTAAATTAAAATTATGCTAGTGTTTATGCTTTATGTACTCACTTTACTCACATCTACAGAAAGTGCACAAACAAACAAACAACTTCAGAAGAGAGGAATACAGCCAAATGGAACTTCTATATTTCATTCGTGTTTTACAATTAAGTTTAACTAGCATGTACAGAACTCTCTTCAATTACATAACATTATAAGCATTTTGTGCTCCCCTTCTGGTGTTTAAGACTTTTCCCAAGAAAAGGGAATGGGGAAAGCAGAGAGCAACACCACCATACAAACTTGAGGGGGGAGTGGTTAGGGTTACCATACGTCCGTTTTTTCGGCAATCAAATCCCCATCCGGGGGGAATTGCCAAAAAGCCGAACATGTCCGGGAAAATACCGTCCGGGCACTTCCCCTCCCGCAGCTGCTCTGCTCCGTCCCTAACTCTTCGGCTCTGTTTAAGAGCCGAGCTGCCCGAGCGCTC